CAACTTGCAAACAGAAAGACACATAAACATTCAAGCTTCCTCCACCACCGCCCTTCCAGGATCCTCTCTCCTGAGCAAGTCTGTGTGTGTGTTTACTTACAGTGAGTAACTGTTTGCTTTGCAGAACTGTTTATACCCAAAGCTATGAAAGATGTAATAAAAAGAAAAATCTACGCTTTTAAATACCTCAAAAGCTGATTGTCCCTTCCCTATTTTCTGATGCCTCCCCGGGGCCAGCCTCCCATCCATGTCCCCGGAGGCCTGTCAGCATACAGTCTCCCAGGCAGGACACGCCCCTGCCACCACTAATGGGAGCTGCTTCTCCGCCCAAGAAAACCGCCTTAGACAGAGCTAATCGCCCGCCCCTGGAGCCCCCACCAGGGAGAGAGTGGGCATCCAGCCAGCAGAGACCTGCAGAGGACAAGGTGTGACAGTGCCCTCACTCATCTAGGGCCCTAGAAGTCACAGTGTAAGAACAGCAGGAAGTGGAGGGGCATCAGGGATCCCCTGTACACAGTTGGGGAAACTGAGGCCCATGGAATAAAAAGACTTCTCAAGGCCACCAATGGCGATGGTGTGAGATCAGGGGATGGGACAAGGCTGCTATGAGCCACCTCCAGTGGTTTAGCCTTTCAAAGACCTACAGCACTGTCCCATGGGAGAGGTCGAGGGGGAACAAGCTTTCGCTGGAGGTCTGTGACCAAGACTGGCTGGACCTGTTCCCAAGGTCATGTGGAGGGGGTTCCCACACCACGTAGAGAGGGTTGGAAGGTTCTTTCCAACTCCAGGGGCTCTCCGAGCCTTTGGCAGCTGAACGAAGGTGCAGGCTGGGAGGATGGGACTGGGTGCCAAGGAGGTGGCAGGAAGAGAGGTCGGGGAACCGGAGCCTCTGGAGGTCTTCACAGCATCCCAGTCCCCGATTCCGCCCGCCCCGAACCCTTTACTAACAGGTCAGAAGGGCACCTACCAGGATGTCCAGGCAGGCGGCCTTCAGCAGGGTGATCTGGTCTGCGATGGTCAAGCTGGTGAAGCCTGGCAGGCGTTTAGCAAACTCCACGATCTTGATAATGCACTTGGTGGCCAGTTCGCTGAATTTGTCCCAGAGGCCCAGGTCCAGCCGGACTCGATGGTCAGCACTGGAATTCTAAGAGGGAGAGAAGACACCACAGTTGCTGGGGAGCCCTGTGGAAGGCAGGAAACTCAGCACATTTCCTGATAATGCGCCTGCACGTCAGTCTTGGCCAGGGAGCGTCCTGGTGGTTTGGCTGAGTTTTCAGCTTAGATTTACCTTTTAAAAATGCTCAAAATCTTATTCCTTACCACTGGATCACCAAATGATAGGTGAGGTGGATTTCTCTTTGTGCAACTATCCTATATAATAAAAGCCTAATATGCTAAGTGTCTGGTCCTCTGGTCGGCCGTTCAACCAATCAAAGCGTAATATGTTAATGATATGCTAAGTCCGCTCAACCATTCGCTATGAAGTGCACTGACCACCAGGGGGAAGACAGTCGACCAGTCGCTATGATGGGCACTGACCACCAGGGGGCAGATGCTCTGATTGGTAGGTTAGCTTGCTGCTGGGGTCCGGCCGATTGAGACTGAGCAAGGCAGGTCGGACATGCCCTAGAGCCCTCCTGCAGTTCCTCCCTGGCTGGCCAACTTCCCGCGTCCCGCCCCAGCCCCAATTGTGCACTGGTGGGGATCCCTTGGCCTGGCCTGCGCCCTCTTGCAATCCGGGACCCCCTCAGGGGATGTCTGAGAGCGGGTTTCAGCCCGATCCTGCAGGCCAGGCCGAGGGATCCCACTGGTGCACAAATTTGTGCACCGGGCCTCTAGATCCAGTAATAAATGACAGAATGGAATAAGGAGTCACCATGTTAGAACTCTGATGAATGACTGGCTCTAGGCACTGACCATCAGTGGTTGCTATTATCTTAAAAAGAGGCAGCCTGCCATTTGGGTGCCCTGATGGAAACACGTACCACTGCCTATGAAATGTCAACCCAGAATCACATGTCTAGCTCTAACTACAGGAAAGCCAGGAGACAAAGAAGCGTGCTGAACTACACCACGCAGGATGCGACTGTCAACACCCAAGAGGCAGAGACCTCATAAACCCAAAGGATTGCTTTCTTCAACAGATACATTGCAAGGGGAATAAAGAAATGGACAGGGAAACCTATAGATTAACAGCGGCTCCACCCAGATGCTCATTAACTGATGAATGGATAAGCTGTGACACACCAGGCGGCAGAGGGCTCGTCAGCAATGACAACAAAGGAAGCATATGTCTGACTGCATACATTTGCTAAACTCACAAGACTATACCTTTAAAAAAAATAAAATCTGCATTGTTCATTTGACTTGACTTTGAGGTTGACATTTTATCAATTATAACCTGATAGATTATAAAGAAAAAAGGGAATGAGCGTCTCTTAGTATTATATTGGTAAGTTGGACCTCTGAAAAATTTCTTTCTACACATGCAAAATTATTTAGACCATTTTTCAGAAGAAGAAAAACTTCCTACATCCTTAATTGTATTGTAAGTAGCCTATGCTTGGGGTTTTCAATATATGCTGCTCTGCTCGCATGATCTCTCTCTCTCTCTCTCTCTCTCTATATATATATATATCCCACGTTCAAAGGCTGTTAAATCACATTGTTTACCCATATCTTCAGAAAAAAATAACTTCTACTGTCGTGGTAAACAACCTGCTTCCCTATTTATAATGGTCTAGCCCTCTAGCAACTTCAGCGTGAAATTATCGCTAATTTGCCTACAAACGTCAGGTGGTCATAATAATCTGGCCACTCAGTGTATTTCCGTAACAGTATATAATAATTTCTACTCGTCCATAGATACTGGTATTTCCTGTACTGAATATAATGAGGAAAAAAAAACATTTCAAGAATTGGAAAAAGTAAAACATTGCTGGTAAAGAATTAAATATGTAATTAAACAGATTTTATTTTCAGCCCCCCCATGGCCCCAAACAGAAAAGCCAGGACTCTCCAACCCCTGCACTGAAGATGACCGTCCCCTCTACCATCCCCCCATCCTGCTGGATGTTTATAGCACTGATCTCCTAACGCACCCTGCCAGGCACTCATTATACAGGGCTTTCTGTCTCATTTTTTAAAGATATATTTTTATTGATTTCAGAGAGAAAGGGAAAGAGGGAGGGAGAGGGAGAGGGAGAAACATCAATGAGAGAGAATCATTGATTGGCTGCCTCCTGCATGCCCCCTACTGGGGATCCAGTCTGTAACCCAGGCATGTGCCATGACCGGAATTGAATCGTGACCTCCTGGTTCATAAGTCGATGCCCAACCACTGAGCCACACCTGCCAGGCTTGTCTCATTTTTCATTGCTGTATGGTGCCTACAACAGTGCCTGGCACATGGCACTTAAAGAAATAGGTGCTGAATGAACCAATGAGTGAAGTTCCCATAAGCCCATGCTTATTTAAAATGGCTCAGGACAGCTAAGGTTTTGAGGCTGAGGCTGTCCTAGGCTGAGGCCTGGGCCCCTCCCAAGGCCTCCGTTGCCTCTGAAGGTGGACCTGAGCCTTCCAAGGAAAGGAAAGGCTCCCAGGTCTGGCTGGGGCCTGACAGATATCAGTTAAGGGTACCATGCACCCCCACCCATGTCCTTCGTTCCTCCCTCAGTGGAAATCAGCTCACGGAGCCAGTAAAACTAGCTCCTGTCTGGAATGCTGGTGAGCAAAGCCAGAAAGAAACGTTGGCATCAGGGATGCCATCCGTGCCCTGGGAAGCTGGTGGCCAGCGTCGCCGTCTGCACTGTTCTTTGCGGAAAGTAGGCATGCGCCCTCCAGATTTATTGTCCTCCCTCCTCGAGGACCTTGGCGGAATACAGTGCACTCGGGGGAACATCAGATCAAGATGTGCGCCATTCGGGCTGTAATTAAATTTAATAGGCAGTTTATCCGGTTCGGGGGAAGACGCGATGGAGAGGGGCGGAGAGGCGCGCCTACTGCGGGGAATCATTTCACAATGGAGTATCCATCTGGAAAAAAAGACATCGCCCCGGCCCAGCGAGTGTGAACGAAATCTTCATCAGCATCGGATGAGGTCACTTCATCACGCCGGGGCCTGAGCGGGAGCAGCCTGTGGCACCTTCTATTAAAAAGAATGCACGGCCGTCTCCGCGGCATGTAAATCTCACTCACGATTATGCAAACTGAAGGGAAGAGGCAGTTAATAAAACACAAAATAACCTGGTGTTTTATTAGACGGCGCGCTGGATTCATGGGCACGGGGTGGAAAATGGCTTATATATTATCTCCCAGCCGCGGCGAATGGACAGCGCGGCCTGGGGTGGCTGGGGATGGAGGCGGTTGCGGGGGTGGGGTGGCGGGGCGCGGAGGACGTGTGGGTTTTCTGCAGCTTTTCTGAAACCCGGCTGGGGGTGGGCACGTGGCTTTGAAAAAGGACAAGGTGTTCACAGCAGGATTACGCGGAGGAGCCCTGCTCAGTTGGCACATTTCTGTGCCAGGAACTATACAAAGCATCCTGACACCTCTTTCTCATTCAACTGTCCCAGTAACCCCAGGAGGTAGGTACTATTACAACCCCATTATATAGATGAGGAAGCTGAGGCTCCATGACGCTCATGGTCATGAACCTCCTAAGTAGCACAGGCAAGGTTTGAACCTGAGTCTAAGAGGCCCCAAAGCCTAAATGATGTAGTGGCTGGGGTTTGTCCTGAGGAGGCAGAGTTACGTATCCCCAGAGCCCATGGTGTCCTCTGGTTCACACCCTCCTTCCATGTTGGAGAGCTCAATACAGTAGCCACACCCCACTCCCCACCTTTCTACATGGAATCCCCTCCCACCCCTTGTGTTTGGAGGGGCCACTGGTGAGACATCTTCCCATGGAGACTAGCTCTGAAGCGCCCTCTGCTGGGCCTGGGCCCAGAAGGTGGTGGGCATATGTTTCTGCCTCCCCTACCCATTCCTGCTGCCTCCGGCGGCCTGACCTGTGGTCGCAAACCTACGCAAATGAGGGAAGAAAAAGGAAGTACTCTCTCCAAGACCTGTAGGTGGGCGGCTAGCTGCCTTTTCAGTTCCTCTCTGCCTACTTATTCCCAAGGCATCCCACAGAAATGCCAGGCTGGTGAAGGTGGCAGGGAGTTTTCTGGCAGTGGGAGCCACCGCCCATCTAAAAAAAGCTCTCGCTAAAAAAAAAAAAAAAATAAAATGCTCGCTGGAAACTTGCAGAGAATGTGTTATGGCTGCTGCTATTTATTTATACCCCCAGCTACTTCCAGAAAGGATTTGAAGTGGCTTCCGATAAAAACAGAGCTAGGTCTGTGTGCAGAGAGGAGGACTCGAGAGACATCCGGAGGAGGGGCAGTATCAGGGCAGCCTCGCTCCTGCAAACCTGCCACACGCACCTGGAGGGAGGTTGGCTGCCCTGTGCTGGGGAGCAGCCTCTGGAGATGAAACTTGGCGCTTCCCCTTTCCCTGCTGGACAAGAGGTGCAGGAAGTCCCTGCGAAGTCCTTAGAACAATGGGCACCAGCTGGGGACTGACGGTGTCTTGTCCCCCAAGCAGTTGAATGGGAAGGGGCCCTGGATGCCCTCAGGGAAGCCACCTGCCTTAGGCAGAAGCAGACCCCGAGACTGGGATTTGAATGCAAACAGCTTCTTTGGGAAGAGATCCCAGGAAGCCTGGAGGAGGAGTGGGAGGGGGCAGGGAAGGGCAGGCAGCCTGTGGAGATCATCCCTGAGGGCACCGGGGCGCCACCTTGCTGGGGAACTGGGGCACAAAACAATATGTAATTATAGATGTGTTTTCTGATGGTCTTAGGTGACCCCTGTGAAAGTGTCGTTCGACCCCCAAAGGGGTCACGACCCACAGGTTGAGAACCGCTGGTTTAGAGGATACACAGGAGGGATCCTGCTCCAGGGGCAAGGAGGCTGGGCTGTTCCTTTGGTCATTAGGTGGGCCTCTCCCAGGAGTATCGGTGCTGCACACGTGAGCCAAGCAGCTCTGGCAGCCAGAGGCGGCCTGGGGCGGGGGCACTGAGCGATGGGACCCACGTCGGGCCCTGACAGCATCTGCTGCATCCTCCCAGGAGGCAGGGCAGGCAGCCTCGCTGGCCTGGAAGCAGGTGGAGGCGGACCCACGGCATAATGAGAATCCACAGGCCAGGCTACTGATTTCAGAGGGAGGCCTGGGGCAGGGAAGGTGGCAGAGGCCCCCCATGAGGCTTTGGGGTGGGGAGGAGCTGTGCTAATAGAGAGAGGACTGTCCTGAAGGAGCACAATGGTCCCAGGTCCTGGGGGAAGCCAGGCCACACAGGACATGTGTTCCAGGAGGGTCGAATGCTGTGCTTTGTGTTTGCCCTGCCCTCCTCCAGACCAGAGTGGATGCAATGGCACCTGGTTCCCAAGTGAGTCAGGGCCTGGGGGGGCTGAGGAAGACACCTCCATCTGGGGACCCTGACACAGCAGCTCATGATCCCAGGGACTGTCCTATCATGTCTTTCTCCTTGTGACCTGCCTCAAAAGTTTCCACCTCCAGGAAGCCCTCCTGACTCCGACTGTTCTCTTTTGCTCCATCTTTTCTGGAGCTAAATGTTGGATTTATTCGCAGATAACTGCCACCTCCTCCCAACCAGATGCCCAATGGCTCCTGCTGCCCTCCTGATGTCTTCTGTCAATGGTGTAGCTGTTAAAAGGGCTGTCTTTGCATTCAGTCTGTTCATGTTCAAGCCCCACGTGTTGGCTAGGAGACACGGGGAAAGTTATGTAGCCCTTCTACACCTCAGTTTACTCATCTGCCATAAGGGGGCAACAGTACCCACCTCATAAGAGTCCCGTAAAGAGTAAGGGAATTCATATCTTTAGATTCCTTAGCATGGTCCCTGGCACATAGTAAGTGCTCAATAAATATTAGCTGTAATAATAATGATGGTGATGATAATAAAGATTCCTGACCACAAGCTGTCCATTTCTCTCCATTATTTATAGACTAAAATACAAATTCCTCAGTCAGCATTCCAGGCGCTGCAAGGTTTTTTTCTTCTCACTTCCCACTTACTCTCAACACCACCCCACCATTCCAGAGCACCTGTTCTCTCTCACCATCTCCTTCTGGCCTCTCCCGTGGCCCATCCTCAGTCAGTTTCCCTAGTTCTTAGGTCAGGACACACTCACCTCAATACTCAGCCCAGTACAGTGCTTGGAACATAGTTGGCAATCAATCGCTACTTCTAAAAGGAATAAATGGTAAGCTCCATGGCCCTGGCTATTACGTATTTTACTTCTCTGCAGGGCCAACATGCACCTGGCATGAGACCAGGTCCCCTAAGGGTTGGTTCATACCCAGGAAGTGGATATGTGGTCGCATCCCTGCTGTGTAGATATTTCCAGATCCCATCATAGAAGCTTTGCATGAATTGTTTCTTTTCCTCTTCCTAACCCTTTTCTATCGTCCCCATTTTACAGATGGGAAAAGTGAGGCGGAGGGAAGGTAAGTAGCTTGGGCACAGTCACGTGGCTGATGGGTGACTGAGCGGGTTTAAACCGCATCCATCTGGTTCCAGCACCCTTGCTCTTGATACATGGCGTTACCCTCCATCGCCTCTCGGTTGACGGGCCTGCTTCGTCTCCTGACTTAAAAGGAAAGCGCCCGTATGGTATCCAGCAAGTCCTGCTCCGGGTCTGCTTTGGGCTAGGACAGTGCTCCCCAAGCTCAGAGAGGGCTTGCCCACTGAGTCCAGCACCTCCCCTGGCCTGGCAGGTAGGTCAGTGCCTTCTCAGATTAAAGAGTAGAGCACCCCCGAGTCTCCTCCCTGACACCACGGGTCTGGGTGGGCCCCAGAAGGTCATCTGGGTCTTGCTACTCAAAGTAGGTTCATGGCCATGGCTTTGCAGAGTGTGGTCTGTATAGTAGCAGCACCAGCACCACCTGGGAGCTTGTTAGTTATGTCCCACCCCAGACCTGCCTATCGGGACCTGCATCTTCAGGAGCATGCCAGGTGCTTCCTAAGCACGCTGAGATTAGGTTCTTCCTCCGCTTCCTGAGCCAGTCTTGGGTTTGGCGAGGGGACCTGTTTAGTCGAATGCCAGCCCTCCAGCAGCTGGTGCCACCCAACCGCACAGCCTCATGCTCACCCGAGAAGCTGCCCTGGCACGTTCTAGCAACAATTTCCACAGCAAACCTTCTGGGCCTGCTCTTGGCCCCCATTCGTGTTTTATAGGTGAAACTGTGGCACCCACATCCAAATGCATGGCTGGGTGCACCCCAAGAATCGCTTCGCAACCCTTGCACTCACTGTTCCTTTCTCTACCTGGCAACGCCACTTCATCTTATGTCGTGGCCTTTCATACCATTCTTTTCCTAGCACACCAGTCACCAAACCAGCAAATGCTGATATAGCTGCATTTTAAAAAAGATCTATTTTTATTGATTTCAGAGAGGAAGGGAGAGGGAGAGAGAGATAGAAACATCAATGATGAGAGAGAATCATTGATTGGCTGCCTCCTGCACACCCCCTACTGGGGATGGAGCCTGCAAGGGCATGTGCCCTTGACCAGAATCAAACCTGAGACCCTTCAGTCCACAGGCTGATGCTCTATCTACTGAGCCAAACTGGCTAGATTTATACTTGCATTTTTTAAAAAGTATGTTTACTAGCATCTAGGCAAACAACACAAGCCACTTAAAGAAGCCAGAACAACATTCTAGTTATATTTAGTCATTCATTCACTGGACAAATATTCATTGAGTGCCACACACTAGGAATATACATCAAGGAACATAATACGTACGAAATACACTTAAAAAAATTAAAGTACCCCATGACGTCTCTACCAGCTCATCCCAGACCAGGAAACATACGCCTCCTACCTTTGCTCCCATTCCTCTCCCTCCCTCTTCTCTTTATTTCTAACCTCAGTGAAAGCCATTCCAGCAGAACACTGGGAACAAAGGGGGACCACCCACTCACCTCCCTACCTGGGGAAGGGCCACCCCTATTTTGTGCTTTTCCAGGCCTTGGTTTACGGGTTATACACCAGCCAGATCCTAGCCCAGGGGAGGCCCCCAATAATCTGGGGGGATCTTACACGTGGATTGGTGTTTTTAAAAGATCGCTCCCTTACCCGCCCTCTGGGTCCCCACTGGGCTCTGCACAGGTGTCCGTCATAACCCGAGGACACCTACCTCACTGGTGTCCTTCACCAGACCCCGAGTCCCTGCCAGCAGCAAGCTCACCTTCCCTGTTCACGTCCCAGTGCCTCTGGGTCCCCACTGGGCTCTGCACAGGTGTCCGTCATGACCCGAGGAACACTGGTCTCCTTCACCAGACGAGTCCCTGCCAGCAGCAAGCTCACCTTCCCCGTTCACGTCCCAGTGCCTCCCGCAGGGCCTGGCGTAGAGCAAGTGCTCAATTCGAGTTTCTCGGGTGGATGCATGCACGTGTGACTGACTGATCGGAGGAAACACCGGCCTCATAGAGAGCACCCAAGGGCAACTCCAGGAAGGAGGAAGGTGGCCCTGCACAGCCCCAGGGCCGACAGGCACATCCTGGGCCGAGTTTGGGTGGAGGTCCCCTCCAGGCCCAGGGCAGAGCCTGTGCGTGCGTGTGTGTGTGTGTGTGTACACACACGTGTGCACAGGGGCCTGTGCCCATCCTCCCAGCAGCCCGGGAGCGGGAAGCGTCTCTCACCGTGGTGTACTTGCCCAGCTGGCAGAGCGAGGGGAAGGTTTCCTGGTGCGCTTTTCGGATCTTCTCGGTGAGATCGTCCAGCTCTGCTGTCATTTCATAGCTCTCCGTGCATTCCTGCTTCGTCGGCTCCTTCTTTTTCTTGTTCCTGTCATTCCTGACAGCTGGATAAACGAGAGACAAGGCACATCAGGGGTCACTAGCAGCTGGGCCCGCACTGCCTGAGCTGGGAGGGTCCGTCTCCCCACGCCTTGGATTCCTTGGACACCCAGAACAGAAACAGTGGGAAAAGGTGCTGCAAACACATCTCCCAAGGAAAGAGTCTCGGGGCTGGGAGGCCGGCAGAGCGCGGGGCTTGTCTTTCTGAGCGTGCACATGCGGTCCTGGAGGAGAGTGTGGCTCGTCCAGAAGGCCGAGAGTCCACTGGTGTGGAGAGAACTGGCTACGTGGACTGGGCCTCACTGAGAGCACGTTCCCCAAGTCCAGGGTGAGGGCCCAGAGGCATCGCAAAGGAACCTGCCTGGGAGACTTGTCCCCAAACAACACCGGGGGGTGGGGGGGACATCAGACGCGGTGATTCCAAACTAAGCTTTTTGGTTTGACACCGCTTTTCAGTTTTCTGAGTTCACTGACTGGCACTTGTGGAGAATTCCTGTTGCAGGTAATGGGATTATGGTTTTTGTCCCTTCATGCTTTTCTGCTTCCTAAATTTTCTGTGTCAACCGTATGTCTCATTATTTATAAAGTTATTTAAACAACAATAATCTATGCATTTTGAACTCTCAGCCTGGAAAACCATTCATTCATTCATTCATTCCTTCACTCACTCATTCACTTATTCACCCACAGCCGCTGCACACCTTGCCTGGCCCCTGTCCCCTCAGCAGGTGTGTCTTGGGCTCCACAGGCCCCACTGAGCTCAGCACCAGGCAGAGCCGGCACCCAGGACCCCGGGGCAGTGGAAGCCGGGGCCTCCACTCCTAGCACAGGCCTCTCGGGTGACTTCAAATCCGAGTGTAACTCAAAGCTCTGGCCTCTGGCCTGGATCTCCCGGGGAAGGAAACTGAAACCCAGGGAGACCAACAGGTAAAACTAGCCCATGTGCCCCCTCTGGGAGTCCGCATTCCCTGGGGACCCAGGGTGGCCAGGCTGGAAACCGCCTGGCTGTGTGTGCCACCACCATGACCCGGGAATCTGTGCTGCAGACCGACCCAGGGCACAGGAGATCGCCTACGAGGATTTGCCCTGTGCTGCCTCCTGGGAGCAGTTCCCTGGGTCTACACCAGGAGGATCCGAGGCCCTGCTTGGAGCTGGAGCTGAAGGCAGCATAAAGGAAGGCATGGGAGAGGAGAAATGGGAAAGGGAAGAGATGGGAATGGGGAGGGAGGGACAGAGGGAGGGAGCGAGGAAAAAAGGGGAGGAAAAAAAGGGACTGAAAAATACCAGTGTGTGTATAAGCTGCTCACACCTGACCAGAAGGCAGGGGGGCTGGGAAAAACCCCCACATTTCTTGACTATCTTGAATATAACAACTGTCTACAGTATCTCACTTAACCCCCTTATCAGGTAGGTGACTTCAAACCCATTTTACAGAGAAAGAGACTGAGCCTCAGAGAGGATAATGTGCCCAAGCGGATGCAGCTGATCAGTTCTTTCTTCACGTGGACACTTATTCCTAAAGGAGTGGATGCCTGAGAAGAAAAAGCCTCCCAAGATGCCTGTCTTCCCCTGGGACTCTGAGAGGACACTGCTCTTTGGCGCAGAACATTTCTGGTCTAGAAAGTGGCGAAAGGCAGTGTGCGGCACCCAGCCTCGGGTGCAGTCTTTTCCACGTGCCTGGACTGTTCCCAGCAGTTTGGGAACACAGGCTGAGGGTAGCGTGGTTGACAGCAGGGAGAATACAAAGAACGCATACAGTTAGCAAAAGGGAGACAGTGAGGAGGAAGGGGCGGGGGGGTGTGGCAGTGGCGATGCTCCTGTGTCTCTCTACAGGGATGACGTCTGGGTTGGTGAGCAGGGGCCTGAAGGCTTGTGTGTGAGCACAGGGCTGTGGGTGCAGGTTATCGGACCCTCTCCCTTCCCGGGTCCTGCCAATGACCCCTTTTCTTTAGCTGACACCAGAGTCACATCAGAACAGCTGTGAGGAAGAGAGTTTAGAAGCACCTCAAAAAGTGAAGCCTGGAGTTACCATGTGACCTAGCAACTCCACCATTACATACATACCCAAGAAAACAGAAAATATATGTCCATGCAAAACTTGTACACAAATGTTCATGGCAACATTATTCATAACAGCCCACAGGTCCCTTGGCTGATGAATGGATAAAAAGAAGGTGGTATATTCACACAATGGAATATTATTCAGCCATAAACAGGAATGAAATACTGACACATGCTACAACACGGAGGAACCTTGAAAACATGCTCAATGAAGGAAGCCAGCCACAAAAGGCCACACGCTGGTTGATTCTATTGATATAAGATGCTCAGAATAAGCAGCTTCACAGACAGAAAGCAGACCAGATCGCCCAAGGCTGGGGTGGAGGGTGGATGGGGAGTGACTGCTAAAGGGTATGGGATTTATTTTTGGGGAGATGAAATGTTCTAGAGTTGGAGAGTCCTAACAGTTGTACAACCTTGTGGATATAACTACAGGTCATGGAATGCATGTTACACTATGTGAATTATACCTTCAAACAAGAACAACCCAGAGCCCCAAGGGAGGTCCCAAGTCACTGGACACCAGGAACTGCTCTGAATCGGAAGCCAAGGTGGCCCTCATTACCATCTAAGACAGCAGTCACAGTAATGCCCCTTACTGACTACTTAGCAAGGCCGGCCATTGCCTTAAGCAATGAAGAATTCCAGCTGACTGAATTCCACAGTGAGCCAGGTGAGGAGCAAGCACACTGCAGTCCCATTTCTACACTCTAGGAATTGGAGGCCCAAGATCATCCTGTTTGCAAGTAATCAAGTCAGGATTTCAGTGGAATGTACAGAAAAGCAGAGAGAGGAACCACACACCCCAAATTACCCATCACCCACCCCCCAGGCAGGACTGGGGCCTGTGTCTGCATTCCTAAGCCTTCTGTTTCCCACGGCCCCCTGGACAACTCAGATAAGCAAACCCAGCTCTGGGGGGGTGGGGG